TTTATGGTGATTATGAAAAGCAGTACGGTGTTTTGAGAGAATATGCCATGGAATTGAAGTCAAAGAATCCAGGAACAACTGTGAAGATAGATGTCGAAACTGAACCCAATGTGTCTTCTGAGACAAGGATCTTCAAACGGATATATATATATGCTTAGGTCCATTGAAGGAGGGATTTAAAAAAGGTTTGAGGGATTTTCTTGGATTTGATGGTACGTTTTTGAAGGGTCCCTTTCCAGGACAAATTCTTACTGCAGTTGGGCTTGATTCGAACAATGGCATTTACCCAGTTGCATATGCCATTGTAGAGACTGAAAATATTAACTCTTGGACATGGTTTTTGGAACACTTGGGTGATGACTTAGATTTGAATTCTTCATCTAACTTCACTTTCATTTCAGATCGGCAAAAGGTACCCTCTAACTTTTTATTCACTTTTACTTTTTTTTATTATTTCATTTACTAACTTATTTTAATTGTACTCACAGGGAATCTTGGCTGCAATAGAGAAGTTATTTCCATCAGCTGAGCAAAGGTTCTGTTTAAGACATGTGTATCACAACATGAAATTGAAACACAAAGGAGATGAATTGAGGGAAGCAGTATGGTGTTGTGGAAAAGTATACAACATACCAAAATTTAATAGGGCTATGGAGAAACTGAAAAAGCTTAACCCAGAAGCACATGAGTGTTTAAGTAAAATTCCTGCAAAACACTGGGCAAGATCCCATTTCTCTGGTAAGTATCATACTCTTTTCACTAACATATTTCATAACTGATTTCAGTAATTAATTGTTTGGTTTTATATATAGGAAGGGCATTGACTGATAGTTTAACAAATAACTTGTGTGAGGTATTTAACTCCAAGCTAGATGAGGCAAGGGACAAGCCTATAATCACTTGTTTGGAATATATTAGAGAATACCTCACAAAGAGAATAGTAAATGTTCATAAGGTGCTAGACAAATGCAAAGGTTCTCTAAGTACAACTGCAACAACAATCTTAGAAAACAATAAGACAGAGGCAAGTAAGATGAGGGTTCTATTTAATGGAGCTGATAAATATCAAGTGACTGGTCTATGGATGGAGCAGTATGTTGTGAATTTGAAAGAGAGGAGTTGCACTTGCAGGAAATGGGACATTACAGGTATTCCATGCCAGCATGCTATTGCTGCAATGTATGATAAGATGCAGAATGGGTCAGAATGTGGAGATCCTGAGGCTTGGGTGAGCAAATGTTACTGGCTCAGTACATGGAATGCTATGTACCAACACACAATTGACCCAATAAATGGAAGGAGCATGTGGCCTAGATCTGATTGTCCAACAACCCTTCTCCCACCCAAACATCACAAACAGGTTTGTTGTCATACATGTTTTGTTTAATTTAACTTGAAACTATTTAATAAACTTGTTAATATGTAACCATATGAATTTGTTTATAGGTTGGTAGGCCAAAGAAAAAAAGGAAGAGGGCAGTTGATGAGCCAACTCAAAGTACCAAGTTAAGTAGGAAACACTTGACAGTCACTTGTAGCAAATGCCACAACAAAGGTCACAATGCTAGGACTTGCAAGGGGCAGGGAGGTCCTAGTGAAGCTGGATAGGGGGTGGACAAAAGAAGGGAAAACATGTTGTAGCTTAGTTTGTATTTCTAAGTAATCTTTTGCTATTATGTCTAATTAAAGTTAGAACATGTTTACTAAGTTTGGTTATGGTATGTCAGTCAAAACAACTACTTTTGATAGGTCTTTTGGGTATTCTATGTTTGTAACATGATATTACACTTACATGCATTATGGTTAATGGTAATGCTACTTTGGTAATTAGTTTTTTGGCTATGTTACTGCACTTTAATAATCAACATTACACTTACATGCAATCAAATTGACAATTTCCTTCCTTGCTAATATAATATCCATCACATTAAAACAAAACATCAAACTTACATTACATATTATATCTGTTACATTTTCTTGTCCCAACATTACATACAATCATAGGGAAAATCCTTCAAAAGCTATGACAAAATGGGACCAAAAGACAGATTCCAAGTTATAGATTCCCCCCTCCCCCAAATGCTTCTTGATTTTTTACTTGAAAAGGTAACACACCATGAAAAACAACCAACTCAGACAAAGTAGCCATTTCACCATCATCAATCTTGCTTCGAGATTGTTTCTTCCACGCAACAACCCTGGAATCACAACAGTTGACCTAGGGCACATGGGAGGGTCGAACCATCCAAAAAAGCTGCATGTTCCTCCTAACCTTGAGCATGACCAAAATCGACGACCTGGGTTCAAGTCAGTCCACGATGTCACCAAAATCGCCGGCCTTCCACAGTGGCATATCAACATCTTCTTCAATTTTGGAATAGAATGTGAGTAGGGAGGGAAGAACAGAGGCAAGGAACGAGAAGTAGAAGGATACAAAGGCGGAACTTAAATTATATACTCTGATGCACAACAAGATGAAAAGACAAATTTACCCCTTCACTAACGGCTCAAAAATGACGGGGTTAGGGTCAAGGACCAATCACGCAATTAAATGAAACCTTAAGGACCATTCGCGTGACTTTTTACTAGAAAGTCCTCAAAGTGCGATATTGTGTAAACCACAGGGACCAATCGTGAAATTTTGTCATCTAAAAATAATAAACAAATGAGAGAAAATTAGAATACGACCGGAGAGATGAAATTTGTAATTTTTAAACAAACAATGGATGACCCGAATTAATTTTTTAAAAGAAAAACTAAACATTTATTTTGACACTACAATTACAAACGAGTATTCATATAATTTACTCTATCAAATATCGAACTTATATATATATATATATATATATATATATATATATATATATATATATATATATATATATATATATATATATATATATATGAAAACAAATTATAAATTTACTTGCAAAACTTTAAATTTGTAAATTAATTTTTTTTTCTTTGCAAATAAGTATTTGATTAGTGATTATATTTTGAATTATCAATATTGGTTTTCTCTTTGGATTTGAATGAGTTTAAACTTAGTTTATGTAATATTATGTTTACTAATTCTGAGACTCATGTATTATATGAGTTAATTTAAAAAAAATAGATATAAAAGTCTAAATATTTGAGAACTTTAAATTTTTAAGAAAATTTGAAAAATAATGAATTATTATAATAGAAATGTTTTTTATTTTTTAAATTTAAATAAATAAAAGAAATAATGAACTTCAATTTTAGTAACTTTGAAATTAAAATATAGACAAAATTGCAAGGATGGTCCCTGTGGTATGTCAAAACTAGCACCTTTGGTTCAAAATGGGTTTGGCTTGCAAGGATGGTCCAATAGTTTCGTTTTGTTGCGAGTTTGGTCCAATTTCCTATGAACTTTTTTATAATGACGGATTTGCCCTTATATTTTAATTTTCCATTTTATTTTATTATCAGTAATTAAAAAGAAATTAAAAATAAAACAAAAATAAAATACTCTCTCTCTCTCTCTTCCTCTTTCTCTCTCTATCTTTCTCTCTCTCTACAAACAAAATTAATACAGATTTGGTAGTGGATTTGTAAAATGAAGAACCCTAACTTTTATCAATTTTGTTCAATTCATTGTATGAAGTTGAATAGACTAAACACATACACACTCATATATGCATATGAATCTCAAGAACACTCGGTTTTTCCTGAGTTCAAGAACAAGAACATCATATTCACGAACTAAGAAATTGATTTCTGATGAACTGCCATCACCACCATCGGAATCAAATTCTTCTATGAATTGCCCAACTCAAACCCATAAGCACACAAACAACTCAATAAACATAAAAATGAAGGTAAACTGCACCCCTTTTATCCCCCTCCCTGAATCGCAGACACCGTATACCCTAAATCAGTACATGTTAAAGAGATTACGATTTACAGATGAAAGGGGTTACGGTTTACAACCTAGAATTTTTTGCTTCCTTTCCAATTATTGAATCAAATGCCAATCTTGTCCCTCTCTCTTGTTCTTCTCTGAATCGGTGTTTGAATCAAATGCCAATCATGTCCCTCTCTCTTGTTCTTCTCGTCACTGCTACACCCCATCACCATGCTCGTCGCCTTCATATATGTTCAGTCTATAGCTAGAGGATCCAGCAGTGGTGTGGAGATGTAACCCAAATCGATGACCCCCTTGATCGATGACAACCACCTCGTCGGAGGCTCAACAGCCAAGGAAAATTGATCTGAGGTGTCTTCCCCTCGATTTCCAGTCGTGAAACCCTCCATCTTAAAACCCTAGCCGCCAAGAAACCCTAATCGTCAAGAAACCCAAACTTCAGATCTCGATCTCCTTTCTCTCGTTGGCATCTGTCTAGCTTCAAATGGAGGGTAGCAACGATCGAATCGGGTGTTTGGGGTGGTGCTACATGACCGGAGGGAGGCGGAGGGGCAGCCTAGGCCGGTGACAACCACTCGTTCTTCTTCTTTGGACAATAGTAAGCAAGAAACGAGAGAGAGAGAGAGAGAGAGAGAGAGAGAGAGAGGGTATTTTATTTTGTTTTGTTTTATTTTTAATTGTTGGTAATAAAAACAAAAATGAAAAATTAAATAATAAGGGCAAAATCGTCTTTCCAAAAAAATTCAAACCAAATTGGACCAAACTTGCAAGAAAATGAAACTTTTGGATCATTGATGCTAGCCAAAACCATTTTGGCCCAAACATGCTAGTTTTGAGATACCACAGGAACCATTTTTGCAATTTATTAATAAAATCGGTATACATTTATTACTATATTTATTATAATTATTACGTTAAAATATTATATAAAATTTAATAAAATAAAATAACTCATAAAATGATATTGAAAAAAAAAAGTTAATTCAAAATAATTATAAAATAACATTGGACAAAAATAAAAAATAAAAAAAAAAAAAAAAAAAAAAAAAAATCATTGGGTGGAGATATTATAAAAACTCCAAGAAATCATAACTGCAGCATACGTCCGTATTATGAATCCAAAATAGCAGTTCAAAATAAATTCAATTAACACCCAACGTTGCGTTACCCTCCCTTTTTCCCTGGTTCTTTGAAAATTGAAAACAAACCAACCGGTAAGAAGAACCGAAGAAAAGGAGGTAGTTTCAAGATGGCGGCAACTGATGAAGCATTGGAGTCACTTCTATCCGATTTCGATGAGATACACAATGTACTTACTACGTTTAATCTTCACCTTGTACTCTTTTTTTTTCGGATCAAATCGATTCACAGCTTATCAAAACCTAAATTTCATCATCGTGTTACGTAGGATTTCTGCGAGGGAATCGTTAAGATTCAATCTCTTCAATCAAGCTGCAAATCCGAAATCAAAAAGCGAGAAGCGCTTGAATTCACCGCCAACGCTCTCAAATCAGGTGTGTATTATGATCAAAAGCAACATCACTTTTGATTTACTATATTCTCCGCTCATTAGAAGGTGATTATTCGATTACTATCATGAATCATCAAATTTACGAAATTTAATGGAAGTTTGTGGATGTTACTTTTTGTTTTCGTTTTCTATTTCTAAATATGAACTCTGTTATTTAGGCGTACAAAAGTTACTTTAATTGTGATTCTACTTTACGTGAGGGATATGCCATACTCCAAATTTGAAGGGGAGTTCAAAACGAACGAAATGAAAATCTAATGGCATAAGAGCCATTAATTATCTCAATTGTATTTTAAGGAGGTGTGAGATTACTCTATCCATCTGTTATCAAACACCACCGATCTTTGAGCTTCTATTGTTTATAGCTCATGTATATTGCAATCTTCTTGTGCTATTTGAAAAGTTACTTGTCTAGATTTGAACTTGTAAACGACCTATTTGACTAATATCTAGTCCTTTTAGAAAATGAGAGAGTGATGAAGCTGTATACAGAATCCATCAACAAACTGGCTAATCAGGTGAACAATGTTAATTACTAGAGTCAGTTAACTTCTGCTTGTAGTACAATTTTAGGCTTAAGTGAGAATGGCCACTGTAATTCTGAACTTCTTTTGCATCTTACAATTTTTATTCAATGAGACAGCTTGAATGTAGGAATAACTGTCGCAGCTTGAAAGAGGAACTGAAGAGGGTGAATGATGAACATATCAGGAAAGAGAATGTAAGTGAGCATTTGATAACCACATGTTACTTTGACATATAGCTAGGTGTAACATTGTGTTATTGCATGCAATTCTGATGCAAGTCCTCTATTTCTTGGCCTTACATAAGTAAAGGGCCAAGGTCTTATTAAGCATAGTGCTTTGAGAAATCTACCAAATCATAGCTAAGGGGTATCCAGTTTTAGAACATTTTGTAAAAGTAGGTTGCTATTTCTTGCATTTACCTTTAAGTTTCTAAGTGGAAAGTTGAGTTTTTGCAAGCAGGAGTTGAGAAATGCAATGAGTCTGCTTAAGCATGATTATGAGAAGAGAATAAAAGAGCTAGAGGTTCAAATCAAGTGAGTTTTCACTTATAAAGACTATTTTTCTTAACTAAATTGACATCTTATTTGAATTTTTTTAAATTTATTGTTGACCAGAGATTCCATAGCTCAGAAAACAGCAAACGAATCGACCATTAATCAACTCCACCAAGATTTAGGTGCACATAGAAACCATGTTGAAGCTTTATCAAAAAGATTGGATCGAGTCCACTCCGATGTGGAAATGAAATGTGAGCTTGACATTTACAGTTTTTTCCCATTAAGTGTTGTTTGGATAAATTATGTTTAAAGATATCTAAGAAAATAACAACACACTTGCAAAAATGCAAGTTAAGTGCAAACTTGCAAAAGTCGACTTAACAGAAAATTCTCCTTTTATATCAAGTCATTCCTTATGTATTTAGTAAAAGAAACAGTGACATATAGCTTACCAGATCAAGTCAAGTCATGTCCCCCATTAAGTTTATTAAGTCAAAAAGAAACAACACATAAAAACTAAAAAGTGTGATGTTTCATGTTGTTCCTAGATCAATATGAGATACAAGATTTGAAGGATTGTCTTATGATGGAGCAGGAAGAGAAAAACGGGTTGAACAGGAAGCTCCAAAGTCTAGAAAAAGAATGTATGTTCATATTTCGTATATGATAAGGGCTAAATGCATAAACAGTATTTTCTATTATAACATCTTACTTTCATTTATTTATGTTACCATATTGTACTTTCAATCAAAGTAGCTTGCTATTTCACAAATTTGATCATATACGATGATGACAACTGCAACTTTGATGATCTTTTAAATCTAATAATACTAATATTCTTCATTGACAATGATATACTTGGTTAATGTGCGTGTGTGTGTGTGTGTTGCAGTACTGATTAGCAGAACAAAGTTGGGTGAATCTGAAAACAAACAGGAAATGAATTCAAATAGGCACGTTGAAACTCTGAAGCAGAAGGTAATGAAACTAAGGAAGGAGAATGAGGTTCTTAAAAGACAACTAACTACTTGAGTTGAAACAAGACTCTGACTCATCTTTCATTTAGTTTGGTAAGTTCGTGATATCTGCAAATATAAGATAAGTCTGTTAACAATTTTTCAATCACTGAAATCTACTATTGTGTGTGTGTGTGTATAGAATATGACATGCTTCAGTAAACACATTATAGTTCAAGCCTTTTGGAATGCTATTTTCTTTTTGTTACAATTTACAACACAAACACTTTGGATGAAAGAGAATGGTATGAACAAGGTAATCTGGTAATGGAAGGAGTAATAATTACATTCCATGATAATGATTGTTGGCCTCTAGCATGTAGGAATAAAATGGATTTTTTTTTTAACATATTTGTGAATATGTGATTTTTAACTTTTATTCTATAAATTATTTTAAGTTACGATTAACCAACTGTTTTTTATAAAATTCAATTTTATAAACATGATATATGCTCATTAAAAACCAAGTAAAAGTTACATAAACAAAATGGGTTATATACAGTTCTTCATTAGATTCCATGATGGAAGGAAAAATTCACCATGACTAAGGAACGAACACAATTGAAAGAAATCACAATAGATGGGGTCCATTTAATTCCATATAGCATTAGCAAAACCAACTTCAGACCCAGTCAGGCTCTGACTCAGTCAACTATCATTAAAATAGCACATAGTCTACATATAAATATAATCCGCTGCATTTTTGTAAATACATTTCATATTATGACACAATAGAATAACACTAATTCACACCAAGAAAAGAAGAAAAAAAAAACATTTGACCCTGACCCTGGCCCTGTCATGTCCTGAAAGCACAAAGGAAAAGACCTACTAAAACAGAGATAAAAAGAACCAACATTGCAGCTATGATGCTAACATTACTACTGGATTTTTCTAACTGTTTCCCAGAAACTGAGCCTTTGTCACCACTGTTGTTGTTCAAGGATAATGTTCTCAATTCTGGGGACACTGGCATTGCTGTTTCCCAGAAGGAATTTGAATTGGAATTGGAATTGGTGGAGAATTTCATGGAAGTTGCTGATTCTGCTTCTGGCTCCAAAACCATGGATGTGTCGGTTAGAGCTTCCATAGACATCAATTCAACACAATGGTCTTTAACACCCTAATAAACAGAATATTCCACAATTTAGTTAGACCTGTTTTGTTTGAACTTTAAAAAAAAAAAAAAAAAAAAAAAAAGGAAAAACCTCAAGTGTTTCAGAAGGCTGTAGGTAGTCACATATATACGTGTCACCCAGCCAAGGGACAAAAACTCTTCGAGGGAAACAAAGACTGCATCCTTTCCTGTTTTAGTTAAACAAAACAAAACAATATTAATCAACCAACATTATGTCATCTCCTGATAAATCACGTTTAAAAAAACAATTTAAGAAAACAACACCACACTTAGGGAGCCTTTGGTTAGGTTAGTATATAATGAGGGTATTTTGGTCTTTCTATAAAACCATAACATACTTATTTATACTAGCTGACCTTAATGACTGCAGTTGAAGGTGCGGAATAGGTGTCTGAGTTGAAACCTCCCCACCAACATCTGCAACAGAATCTGAATCCAATTGTCCATCAGCCTCATCACAGATGATATCTAATCTACTATGTAGGCTTGAAATGATATCCCCCTAAACAACAAACAAAACCCTTAATAAAACCAAAATAAGTAAAAAGTAAGTAGATTGATATTTTGATTTTCTCATACCTTTAAATCAGCCAAAGCTTGTGAAATGGATTCTTTGGAATTAGAGTATGCATAAGAACAGACTGAACCAGTAAAGACCAAAATACCCACAACCTCCTCTTCACTGTATGCTTAAGAAAACAAGAGTGACATATCACATATGTTAACAATAATTTCACAACAAGGTGATTAGGCCTTAGGGAAGGTCAGATAAATACCTTGAAAAGATGTATGCTGCATGAAAGGTATAAAAAATTCAACTTCATGGACACCATCAAATGAACATTGCTCATCCACATTCACCTTCACAAATACAAAAAATTATAGTCACATGACACCCATATTTTATTGGGCTAAATGCATGAAATAGAAATAAAGCAATATATTTTCATTTACTAAAATCATCCGAATTCTATCAATGATCAAACAAACTATAGTAAAGTGTTAATAGGCAAAAACAGAGGTGTTGAGTTTAAATGTTAAGTAACAGATAGATGCATACCAAATTCCCATTAATCAAAGCCTTTGCCCCCTTCAGTTCTTCAGCATGACTTGATATTACATCACGAACAATTCCAGCAAATTTTTTGGGATTTGAAATGCTCTCATGAAATATTGGAAACCTGGGAAAAGACAACTTTTTGTTATTCGTGGATTATTAAAATAAAACACACAAATATAAGGCCATCCAACGAAACAGACCCTAAGCAAGTGCTCCAAACCTAGTTGCTCAGTTTTGCAATGTTTGAAAGATTTGATATTGATGCTGATTTACCGAATTTTTAAGGCCAAATAATCAGATTTGAGAAGTCAATGCAAGAAAACTGACTTTTTGTATGACAAACAATAGGTCTAAATTCATACCTTATATCAAAGCTGTAAATGCATCTAAACTTCTGAAGAGTGGAAAAAACTCTTCCCATTTTGAAGTCGCATGGGCGTAGGCTGCTTGAGGTTATATTTGAAGACAAAGAGCAATTTCGACATGTCCACCTAACCAACATTAGAATGCTACAATCTCAATACAACAACTTTGTTTATATACATTCATAATTGTGTAAAAAAGTATGTATGAAGTTACTATTTGTTTATCAGATTTAGAATTGCAATTTGCAAATCAATCTCCACCAGATAATATGATCAATATTTGCCCTTCTTTTTCCCTAGTCCCAACTACTCTCACATTAAAACTGATCAATATTGTTTGTTGGAATGTAAAGGTAAAGTGGTCATTAGTCTCATTCAGACGGTTTATTCAGTCTGGAAAAGAAACAGACCTCATGTATACAACACTTTAGCTACTTTATCCATACAAGACTTAATGGGAAAAAGAAGAAACGACCCCTAAGAATCTGCAATTATAGGCTGCTAATTAGATATAACGAGGACTCATCTCAAAGAGAAAACATATCTTTTTTCCCAAATTGTTTTTAAAATTTTCAGTTACCTGCTTGGACTATAGCTTATGTGAATAAGCAGTCTCTCATCCCAACCAATATCTCTTATCGGTGCTGCATCTGCAACTCCTTTAACAGTCTGCAATAGAAATTACATCAACAACAGGTATATGCATCTATATATACATACCAAACACACACACACATATACATATAGGCCCTGTTTCTATGTTCTCGATAAATGACATGTAAAAATCATTTTAGAAAAAGATATTACAAGTTAAGGGAAAGTTTGTAAACAGTTAGAACTTAATGGGAAGGATCCTCATTTCTCTGACTTTCTCTGTTAAGTCGTTCTTTCTTCATCAAGTCAAAAAGATACTAAGAACTGTGACTTGAAGGAAAGAACATGAGTAGACACAAAGTTTAGTTTTTAATAGAATGGAATTAAACCTGGCAGAGCACTAAAGTAGAATTCTTGAACAAACTTTCATTCATCCATATGTAGATGCCAACTACCTTCATGCCACCAACTAACATTCTTGAAACCTGTTCACAATTTCAAAGGCAACTCAAACATAAAAGCTCAAGTAGAATAAACAGATTTAGACCACTCAATTTTATAACAGAAATGTAGACATGCATAATACAAAATTCAAGCATGCATCCAATTCGCAAAATCCAAGTCAATCATGGATCATTAGCTGCTTCATATTAGTAGTTAGATGCTTGGGTTGAATTGTCAGTTTCACAATTGATTCAATCTAGTATATCTACATTTCATTCTTCAAAATGCATGTGAATTTTTTCATATTGTTCTAACAGTGTCGTTCATAACATTATGTTTTCAATCGCTATACTTGTAGCTGCCCAAATTAAGAAACCGATCAAAGCTAAGTATTAAGTTGAGGATATCGAACCAAACCTGACGAGCATGTTCAGCGACCCAATCCTTATCAATGGACAAAAACGAAGAAGAATCCGATTGCGTTTTGGATTTTGATCCTCCTTTCTTCTTATTGTTATTATCATCTTTGCTCTCGATGATCCAAGAAGCTACTTCTCCGGCATCGTTTAACGGCGTGGGGACTAAATCAAACACAAAACCTCTATCCAAACTTGTACTTATCTTCCCAATCGCCAGCCCTACCTGTCAAAATCACCAAAATTGTGAACAAACTACGTGTATATGTGTGCGTCAGTCAACACATACACAATGACAGAGAAGAAGACAGGATTACCTGGCAGGAGAGACGGGAATGGCTGAGGCGGTCTTCAACGGATTTGAGCTGGATTTCTTCTCCGACCACCGCTTTCACCATCGTCGCCGTCGTCCACTGCACTTGATCAAATACCAATCTGTTCGGTTTTGTTCGAAACGAAATTAATTGGGCTCATATATTGAACTTCACCTAAAGTAGGTAGTGGGCTTTTGATTAGGCCCAATGATCGAAGAATACCAAGGTAGTTTGGTACTCTAAAGAAACCAAAACTTTATGGCCGGACATTTGGGTAAAGTGGATTATGTATGTGAAAAAATTAAGTCTAGTCCAACTAAAAAAAATAATAACACTTGTCACATATTATATTATAGACAAAACTTCAAAAATGATCCTGAATGTGAAAAAATTAAGTCTAGGGCAAAGTTAATGGTTGAGCGTATCATTAGTGGGGACTACCAAGTACAGTATGGATTTTTGAGGGATTATGTGTTGGAGCTACTCAACACTAATCCTGGTACAACAGTTCGGATTGATGTGTATCCAGAAACCTCCCTGTCTATTACCACAAGAACTTTTAGAAGAATATATATCTGTCTAGGTGCATTGAAGTTAGGATTCAAATCTGGGTTAAGAGATTTTCTAGGTCTGGATGGTACTTTCATGAAGGGCCCTTACCCTGGGCAAGTGTTAACTGTTGTAGGGTTGGACTCAAACAATGGCATATACCATGTAGCATATGCAGTGGTAGAGATAGAATCAACAAGTAGTTGGACCTGGTTCTTGGAATTGTTAGGAGAAGATCTGGATCTGGAACCAAATTCAAACTTTACATTCATTTCAGATAGACAAAAGGTGTATATCACCTAACTTTTTTTATTACCCTTTCTAAATACATTTGGTTAACTAGATGTTGCATACATTGACTTTTGTTTATGGAATAATACCAGCAATAAAGAAGGTATTCCCTAGTGCAGAACACAGGTTCTGTTTGAGGAAGATTAATGAAGAGGCTCATGCTTAGTGTGTAAGATCCCAGCAAACACTTGGACTAAATCTCACTTTAGTGGTAAGTTTCTAGAAATTTATTGAGAAATGTTAATCTTTCATGTTGTGTGTTTACTATATGTGTAATTGTCTTCTCTTAATATCTATTATTCAAGAAGGGCACATACTGATTGTTTGTTGAATAACCTTTGTAAGGTATTCAATTCTAAGCTATATGAAGTAGGGATAAACCTATTATCACCTGCTTAGAGTATATTAGAGAGTATCTCATTAAGAGGTTATGTGTGGTGCAAAAGGAAATAGATAAGTGTGAAGGACTTCTAACCTCTACTGCAACTACACTGTTTGAAAAGATTAAAACTGATGCAGCAAAGTATGTGGCTAAATACAATGGGGTAGGAAAATACCAAGTGGCAAGCACATGGCAATACCAGTATGTGGTAAACTTGAATGATCAAAGTTGCAGAAGTAGGTTTTGGGAGATTACATGTTTTCCATGTAGACATGTTGTTTGTGCTATATGGGATAAAATTGAAAATGGTGAAAATGTCCCACATGTTAATGAATGGGTCCATCCTTGCTATAGGTTATCAACATGGAAAGCCATGTATTTCAACAAAATTGATCCATTGAATAGTTATATATAATAGTTATATAGCAGCAAAGGTATTTATTATAAAATTTGTACCATCACATTTATCAAATAGATTAATAGACTTGTACTCTTGGTATTTACCCACCTTATCTTGGAAGTAATTATTCACACCAAATCAAGAGTGTTTTGATTATCCAATCCTATATAAATAGTTTACTCATCACTTAACTGTTAGATTAAGCTCTTAATAATACTTATTTGTGCTCTATTTCATCGTAACTCATTCATAACTTAATGGTCTAATTGACTAAATGCTTAGAGGTTTGAATGAAAGCACATGACATCAAACCCCCAAATTAATCAATAATCCTCATTTGACTTGATAGATTATCGACATTGTTTCCAATGACATCTATTGAATCAAATGGCATTCTAAATAGGTTGGAAATCATTTACAAACATAACTACATAAGGATTAGTGGTTCAAATATGATGATCAAACTATTTAGACAACCAAAAAACCCTAAGTTCCATAGAACGCATTTAAGCCTTAAATTCATACAAATGATTTGACCAACCTAGATGATCACCATTTGAACTTCAATTTGACTTGATGAGTCTATGGTGTATTGAGTTTTGTTTGTCTAAACTCTTTGAGTTTTGTTTGTCTAAGAAAGGAGATTCAGAAAACGAATATAGTTTTTTTTTTTATTTGAGCAAAGTAGACGAATATTAGTTTTTTCTTTTGATTTAAACGTATATTTATGTAACATTTTTATTTATATATTCAACTACCTAATGTTCTTATTTATTTGATTGTAATTTTTCTATTTTGATTATGTTTATTTTCTATTATTTTTTTGTTGGGTTATTCTACACAATATATTTACAATACAATATTTAAAAGACAACATAATTTTTAACATTTGATATGTAATTATGATGACTTATCATGATATGTTTTTCATATGAAAGTAATTTATTTATATTAATACGACAATAATTACATATGACATTTAAGAAAATATATATTATATGTGATTTGTTTAACATATATATGCACCTATGTATGTTATAAATATATAATTAAATATTTTTATGTTTAATAATTTAAGGGATTAAAATGATGCATCAAAACCAATTATTTAGATGAATATAATAATAATAATAATAATAATAATAATAATAATAATAACAATAATAATAATAATAATAATAATCGTAATAATAATAATACATTTCCAAGTACCGTATTCATTTGAAACTCACACTACAACTCAAGAGTTTTCTAATTTATATATATTTATTAGTTACAACTCAAGAGTTTTTAACTTACGATTATTAATTAGTAATTATTAATAACTTTTTATTTTCCTTTCTTTTGTAAGGTTGTAAAACTCATTAAAGACAATAATACATTTGAAGAGATTTGTGATTTAAATATGAAAAGTTAATATAAATCTTATAATAAATGTTTTAGTGTTTTTAAGTTATTAAAAGTTGTAGTGTTTATTTTTCATAATTTTTATTATTCGTTGTATATATATCTTTTTTAATACAAATGTTATAATAAATGTTTTTGTATTTTTATGTTACTAAAAGTTGTAGTTCATATTTTTATTCATACATTTTGTTACCCGTTATATATAGATTATCATACGTTTGATATCTAATTTACACACTTTTAAGCGGTTTATAATATTATCAAATAATTGAATATATCACAATGACTTAAAAATTAAAACTATAATCATCATACTATATTATAAAGGAAATATTTTTTCTTTCACTATATTCATTTGAAACACCAAACTTTTCAAATTTCCATACAATATGCTTAATTTATTAACTTAAATATGCTTTAGTTGTAAACATTATCATAAATGAAAGAATTTGTTACTTATCAATATAATATACTTAATTTGTTAACTTTAATATATAGTTAAATAAATAACCTACATTAATATATTAAATAAGCTTAAAAATTTAGAGTAAAATTTAAAATCTAAAGTAAAGTATCAAATAATGTTTAAAAAAAATTCAATATATATTTTTAACATAGTTAAAAGGAAATCATTAAATATAATAATAATAAAAGAACCTAAATTGATGCATCGAATTAACTAAAATGTGTCTGAAAACTATATTCTAACAATATATTTTTAATCTGCGTCGTGCAATGCGCGGGATTTCATCTAGTTCTAGTTATATAATTAGTCATTCAAAACACCTTTTAGAAAGGAAAAAAAAAGTTTAACATACAAAAAAGTATATTATTTGTGTGAAACGACTTATAATAAATATGGTAAAAACTTGATGTCTTTCTAATTTGAGCCATGAACTTTCATCTAAGCATCTATGAGAACCAACTAAAGATAGCAACAACAAATCTTAACTTGCATAAAATTTGAAAGCAGCAGACCATGAATTATATATGTTGAAAATACCCTCCAGCAAGATTGAGACGGATCCAAGGGTATTCCTTGTTAGTAAAAATTACATTGATGATCCTTGTTTTAAAGTATTGTTATTTTTTTTTTCAGAATATGATCAAATATAGTCATTTTGGACTTTTTGGTAAGTTTGACCATTTTTGTTCTTTTTTGTCATTTGGATGAGTTAAAAATGTTAAAAACATAGATCCAATTTTCACAAATATAGACCCATATAACGAATATATTTCAAATGTTAATATTGGTTGGCAACATCAAGGAAGAAGATGATCACCTAGATAAAACTTCCACAGTTAGTCCACTCTTTCTCTCTCTGAATCTGAATAGAGAATGAGCTCTTCAAAGATGTTAGCCTACTCTATGGTAGGCGTTGGTACTCCTCTTTCTCTCTTTAAATCTAAACAAACTACCATAAATTTGACCAGAAGTAAAGAGCAACAGAGTAAGGTGATAGTTGAAGAATAAATGGCCTTTCTTGATACATAATCATAAATTATTCAATGAATTTTATATTTAAACTGTAAACCCCATTATTTAGGGAGACCTGCATCTTGATAATGACTTGATTGAAACTTCCCAATAAATCATGTTTATGCACCCTGCAGGCTAGTACCAGTACGGAATCCTTGCTCCAAAAACAAAGAAAAAAGTAGCCATGTTTGTATGTGTATGCCGGTACTGTAATATACATGAAATTGATTCAATGTGGCATTTTGTCAAACATTTGGCATGCATTGATGAAAATGATGATAATACCAAAATGTAATTCGATCTTATATATTGAAAATCAAAACCAAAAAGAGATGGAAGACAAGATACTGATTCAATGATTCCTCACTAAACCATAAGTTGAGGTTGAATAGAGGAATCATATGATTAATTTCTGATTTGTTATAAAGAAACCAATTAAAGAAAATCATAACAAATTACAATCAAGACATTGGAACATTCACATTAAGATAAAACTCCAACAAATAGAGACCTAGAAGTTTCATATTAAGATAAAACTCCAATAAACGAACCTGAATAAGAAAAATTGTCGGATGTTAGGCGATTAGAAGCCAAGAAGTCAATATTTGAAATTCCAATT